AAATGTTGGCTATTAGCACTTGGAAGGTAAAATTAGAAAGAATGAAAACAGCATGCGCATGCACACACTGGTCATACAAAACTGAATTTTAACCAATGCAACACTAACCTCCATCATAAACTACAGTGTTTTATCATGTACAGTGGACAAGATTATTTAGACCCATTTCTAAATCTATTGTCTATTGTCATTAAGGTTTCCAACTTCACATAAAAGTACACTAATAATTTTAATGCAATTGATACAATTAAGTATAATAATACATTTCTTCTAAAAGGATTTTTTTGATTTTATTTTTTTGAGTCCTTTCTTCCAAATGGATCAGTCCAGACCTTCATACCTGTACATCAAAAAAACAAATAATTAATAATCAATGAATAATTGTCGACCTCCTGGTTGAGTTTTCTCCAATGGAACTTTATCACGTATCCACTTTTGCTTTTCTCCTATTATATAAATGGAAAAGAGTTTATTTTCATTTACAAGTACATAAAACAGTGTTATTATTATTGAAGCTACAGTTTACTATATAAAATTTGTATTTGTAAAAATGTCCGGTATATACATAGTGTTAAAAAGAACAAAATTATTATGAATTTTTTTATTAATTCATTCTATCATTGAATTTACTATAGATTTCAGGGTGGAGCTTTGGATAAATGATGACTGAGTAAAGGGCCGCTCCAAGGAGAGTTAGGAAGCCAGCAGCAAGGCCAGCATTCTTTAATGTCCTATTACTAGGCATGAAGCAGGTTGAGCAGCTATAAAATTACAAAAAATAAAAATTATGTAAAAGCTTTCTTACTTTTAGTTCAAAAGGGTTAAAAATTAGCCACACCCGACCCCTCCCACTTAACCACGCCTATTTATAATTAGCATGTAAGTTTTTGATGTTTTTTCATTTGCTTTGTAGATTAGACCATGCACCACGAGATACTCTTGACGCTGTCAGGATGCCCTGGGGACGTGTTTATGACCTCAAGAGAAACAGGACACTATGAAGTAAAACAGCAAAAAATTAAAATTAATTAATATTAATTGTAATTACTTTAGGATATAATTATGCTTGACTCCTCCCCCTATTAGATTATTCCTGATATTCCTTATATACATCCGAGCGAAGTATCATTAATTAACGGGCTTGTCTCCTTGGGCTCTTATTATAAGTTTCTCATTGATTTCGTCAGCAAGCAAACGTCGGCCATTGTTAATTTGGCCACACCCCCTGATTCAGAAGAGAACCAATTGGGTAAACAAAGATAATAATTTATTTTTTAATTTGTTAATTTTTATAGGTTTATATTTAAGAGCATTAGGTTTCGGTATTAATAATGTGTTGGAGCCTTACAGGATGAGATTGGTGGAGGTGGAACAAGAGGTGCTGTAGTGAATTTGGGGTCTCTTTCTTTAATCTTTACCTTTTCTTCTTTAGTGCATTGCTGATCCTCACTTGCCTCTCTCACACATAAAGCACAGATTCGAGCAGGTACATAATACATGTACTTCGTCTTATTGATGTCCTTATGCTGTGTAGAAAGTTTGAGCTGAACCTGACTTCAATTTTTAAAGTTATGGCCA